CCCAGCCGGTGCAGGTCAGAGCCCGCCCCGCTCCCTTGCCGTGCTGGGTGTCCCCATGCCAGCCCCGAGCCCCGCGCCGTGAGGGATGCTCGTGTCCCCTTCGGTGCTGTGACAGCCCCGGGGCAGCGTGCCAGAGCCAGTCCCGGCCCCACGGGGCTTTTCCCATCCCACGCTTGATTTTTCATGGGTAGAATTATCTGTCGCATCCCTCATATCGCTGCCGCTGCAAGTCTTGAGTGCAGCTTTGGGAGCAGAGGGAAGGAAGAGCAAGCAGCAGGACAGAGCCCAGTATAAACCAGTTAGCTGCTGGTCCACATCCTACCCAGGGAGGGATAATCGTCCTATTATTTATCCAGCAAATGGAGCTGATGAGGTTTTGGGTGCCAGCCCAGCGAGAAGCCCACGAGGCAGCTCTGGCAGGCAGGGCTGGGATATTTTTGGAGGACTCGGGTTGCAGCAGCAGAGCCTTTAAAAGGGTAGGAGCAGCGCAGCAGGAGGAAAAACAACGTGGGGGTGTGAGCACGGCCGAAACCGCGCCGGGAAGTGGGGTGAAGCCCACCTGGGGGGTGGGTTTGCAGGGGGCTCTCCGAGGGGACCCATGGGGGTCTCATAAATTGGGGTGTGGGCTCCCAGAAGATGTAGGGGGTTGGGCATGCGGGGTGGATGCTGGAAGGGGGATGAGTGATGGTTGCATTGAGCCCAGAGGCACTGGGGGGCCGTGCTGTGCGCCCCCTCCCTCGGGGGGGGGGAAAGGAGCTGGTTTGACCCATTGCCTCCCAGCTGGATTCATCGTGCAGAAGCTTGAGCTCAAGCCTTGCCCAGGACGTTCTTGTCCCCAGGGCTGAGATGGTTGGTACCTTCAGCAGCAGGGATGCTCGTAAGGCTCTGACATAATTAAAAGCGGGGCTAATTGCCTTCGGAGGAATGGGAATCTTGCAGGCAAGGAGGGCGAGCCTGTTGGGGCACGGCGAGCGCTTGGAATGCCAACTGCTGCCCTCCTGGGTGACAGTGTCTCGAATAGCCGAGGAGATCCACCACCAGCCTCCCCGAAGGTTTAACTCAGCGGGGCGGCAGCGGTGCACCCCTAAACCGGTCCCTGAGGACTTCGAGGTGCTGGGACAGGGGTTGCCAAGAGCCGCGGCTGGTGGCCACCAGCATTTGAGACGTGCTCCCTGGTGGCAAACTGCAGCTGAACTCACAAAACCCTAATTCTAAATAGAAATCAGAATAACGCGGGGCTTAACGACATCGGTTTAATTGATTTAAAGGCAGCAGGTGATAGACGAGAGCGGCGCAGGCAGGGAGCATCGCTGCTGGGGCTCCCCTCCTGGTGCCAGGCATAAGGGGGGCACAGATCCCGCGCTGGGGTCACCCCCGGAGGGGACAGAGCCTGGTCAGCGAGGGAGCCGTGCTTCGGCTTCTGTCCTTCACTCTGGTCCCGACACCCTCCTTTCAGCGGGGTTCAAACCCTCTCTGTGTACATTAGATGGGTGCAACCATCCCCCCACACACCTTTTTTACGTCCAAAATTATTTTTAATTTTTACGCCCAGCTGATGATTTTAAGCTCCAGCTGCTTGTTTTGGGGTGCCAGCCCTGCTCGTGGATCCCCGTGCCTTCGCACAGCACAGCACTGCCCGCAGGCTGTTGTCACCATCCCCTATTGCCGAGGATCCTGGGGGAGTCCCCCAGGGAGGCTGCAGGGCCCGA